CTGTTTATTTAAAAGTTCAGATTAATGTACAGACTGGAACTGTTTGCTTAAGTGTTTTCCCCCTCCCAGGACTTGGACAATCATTTAGAAAAACAACGAAAATCAATTTTGAAATGGCAAAAAGAGAATAATAAACGAGCACTGTTTCTAATGCAATTATTTGGCCTCTTAAAAATAGTGTAATTACATGTGGTTAAATAATACAGAAATAAATTTTTTATTGACTTCAGTGGAACTATTCACGCAAGTAAGGGCTCAAAAAATCAGGCCAAAGCACTGTGGAGAGGAAGACAAGCAATTTTTTAAGGAACTTCTCATACGAGACATGAATAAAAAAGGAATCGTAAAATCTAAACTATCGTGGATAAAATATGAACAAAAGTAGAAGCAATATCATCTTTACAGTGATGAGGAGAAAACAACAATACAACTGTTAAGATCTCTTAGAGCTATATGGTCCCTTCTGTATACGGATCTCCCTTGGTCTTCACAGAAAGTGGGGACACCATCCTTTGTGGTATTATTTGGTGAGGTTTTGGGAAGGGGGGTGAAGCAGAGGACTACCTTATTCTGTGTCACTATCCTCGTCTTAGCCTCTAGATTTGCCTGTGGGATTCCAGGAGGTTGCCATATTACTCAGCAGCAGTGGACGGAACCAGCCAGTCACGGGACGAGAAGTAGAGCCAAGTTTGAACAAAGTGGAGGCAAGAGCCCTCCAGGTAGGGTCTCCTACTTCCACGGATCAGTAGCATTCACAGGGTGGGGAGGTATTGCCCTTTGCCAACTCCATTGGACTCCAAATCCCTCATTTATGAGGAGTCACCTCATAAGGGTTTCCTGGCAACCTCCAGGAGGTCTCTGCAGGACTGGCAACCTCACTCTGAGTTATTCCCTAGTTATGATTGAAATTCAATTGAATTTGGTAATTTTTAAGCAGCATTTCAAAAACAAAGCCTCCAAATATTTGCTAGCATACAATATTTCATGTAAGCACATGGGGAAATCTGTATTGCATTTATTTCATTTCCTGCTATGCGTTAGAAAGCAGGCACACCATAAGTATACTAGGTTAGGCTCTGATATACATCGTGATGGCATGCAGTAGAGGAGCTCATTCACCAAAATATGAATCACCAATCCACAGAAAGTGTTAATGTTCTTATAGGGTTGCCAACCCTCTAGGATTGTCCTGGAGTCTCCAGGAATTAAAGATTACACTATGTGATGAAACCTCCAGGAATCCGTCTAACAAAAACTGGCAACCATAATAGACGAAAAGACATTATGCCTCTATCGTAACAGACCAGGAGAGGCAATATGAGGTATAAAATGATCAAGTGACCACAGCCAGTTCAGTGAGGCATGATAGCATTTTACGCTCAACAGTCCAAGATTAAAATCTTTAGTTAGCTAAGCATAATGTGAGTCAGTTTCATGTATAATGTATTGTGTGAGCCTTTGTGATACAATGTAACCAATTCCATTTAGTGCAATTTGACTATAGCTAATACAGAATAATTGGAGTCAGTTTCTAGCATGCTCCAGTTTGAGTCAAATATGATATGGAAAAGAACGTGATACATAATAATATGAAAAGGAGACCACATAATGCTGTGGATGAACAGTTAATATGCTAGAATACAGAAGGCAGTCTAATAGAGTATTTAGGCCCCTAATCACATTATAACCTAATACATAGACAAAAGGCTAATACATTATGAAAAAGGAGACTATTAAAGAACAGTATAAATAATAGTACATAGCTGAACAAATCATAACTCCAAATACGATACTTTTTCAAATAATAAGTGTACTGGGAGGAACATTTACTAGAAGATAAAACATGGCTCTTCAAGCAAACATTAAAATAAGGACGTTTTAGAGCTATTCTTCACATTTAAAAGGCTGCATAACAATGTACTGAGCAACCCTGATTCCTGTGCCAGAATACTGGCTTTATTCATTTTCTTTCTAGAAGATTAAGAAAGTAGTTAGCACAGTTCTAACCCATTGGATACCAGGAATCACAATTTCACAATTTATTGTACTATACTCATGCAAACAGTGAAGTCTGAAGACCTACCTTTTCCAAGAGGACCTACCTTTTCCAAGAGGTTAACAGTGTCAGATTAGTTAAAGAACAACAGCAATTTACAGCAAGCACACAAACATTAACATGACAGACTGTATTTCAAGCAAACATCTTTGGCTTTTTAACATATTCAGCTTCTAAAAAGAGCAGACATGCTTTAACTTTTTTTGACTTGTGAATGCGTTACATTTAAGTCCAGTAGCCATTAGTTTAATCAAATCTGATTATTTCTCTTCCTAACCCTTCATAGGGCTAACCTTGTGTACATGTGAAGAGCTCATTTATGAGCACAAGATAATCAGTTCTGACTACAAGTTAAAGTCATCCCTAAGCAAACAGAAAACTTCAGTTTAGCAATAAAGTTAAATAATTATTATTAGACTATGTGATGTGACTACAATGTGACTTTGAAATGACTGTAGTGTGCTTAGAATAAAAATGTTATGTGTCTGTGATGTTTCTAGGAGACTAAAACGTCTGTTATGCCATACCACTGTGACATGACTCGTGTCAGAAAAAATGTGTGCATTATTAATGAATACATAGGCACAGTATTTCAGGAGCAGAATATGTTATACAAAATTCTGGTAGTTCTAATTATCTTCTTTATTAGTAGTTGTAGTGCTTTGTACTGTAATATGATGAAGGAATTATATACTTAATTCTTTCACAGAAAATTCTTTCTAAATGTTTTGGCAGAAAGGTTACTCTTTCTTGTCAATTCCTTGACTTTTGATGCTAAGGCTACAGCCATCCTTCCTGTATTACACAATGAACATTTTTCTTTATTATTAGAATCATAGAATCATAGAATAACAGAGTTGGAAGGGACCTCTGGAGGTCATCTAGTCCAACCCCCTGCCCAGAGCAGGACCAATCCCAACTAAATTATCCCAGCCAGGGCTTTGTCAAGCCTGAACTTAAAAACTTCCAAGGAAGGGGATTCCACCACCTCCCTAGGTAACACATTCCAGTGTTTCACCATCCTCCTAGTGAAAAAGTTTTTCCTAATATCCAACCTAAATCTCCCCCACTGCAACTTGAGACCATTACTCCTTGTCCTGTCATCTGCTACCACTGAGAATAGTCTAGATCCATCCTCTTTGGATCCACCTTTCAGGTAGATTAAGGTCTGTTTGCTCCCATTACTTAATGTCATCAAAACCAGGATCAATTATTTCTATGTGTGTAATACAAACTTTTTGGACACAAATATAAAACAGTGACAGGAAGGTTTTATCTGTACACAGCATGTGATTACTGAGACTGCAGCATTCATGCACACTTATATCAGGAGCATCTGCACCAGTGTGTGACTACCAAGGATGTTTATGTATGTGACTGTGACAATCAGGATGTACTCCCTACATATATAGTAACCTCCTAAATTTAATTGAATGCCTTGCGTTTCTGTATTTGTACATACATACATATATATGGAAACCTAACACACCATGATAAAGATAAAAGTCTACATATACTGTAATCGGTCAAAGATACGCAACTTAAAATGGGCACAGTATGTATTCATGTTATGGTTTAAGACCTGAAAATCTTATATTGATGCTATTCTTGTTTTCATATACATAGATTTGGTGGTCATAAACAATACCATAATTACTTATTGTGGCCATTTTAACCTGAGTTGTTAAGTTTCATAGGTGTTAGATGATAAGGTAGGTAAATTCAGGCTGAGAAAGCCTAGGGATTTCAAAAAATATTCAGATAAAAGGTTCATTCATGCTGCAGATGTTGAAGAAATGCATTATGATCCTATTCTTGTGACACTTTTAAAGGTAATAGCAGAGTAGGTTATCATTTTATTATAGCAGGGTCTTCCAGGCTAGAACAAAGTAAATGTGTCACTTACAGGCTAGAAGAGATTATTGTTTTTATTATTGATTAGACAATAACGAATGTCTTTCCATTCACTACTGCAGGGGGTTTAAAAAAACAAAAACAAAAAAAACCCCACATGTTCTTAGCAAATTCTCCTCTAAGCCTTCAGAAAGGAAAATGAGGAAGGCGTGCAGGAGTCAATGGGAAGCGAGACTGAGCTGGAGTCAGAGAAATCTGAATTATAGATGAAGAGGCATGTATTAAATATAAAGTTGAAACAAGCTGAGGAGGACAAGGGAGCGATATTTTCTACAGCGAGAGGAGCGATGCCGGCCGGCGAGAGCCCTCCAGCAACTCTGATAGGGGAGTTTGACGCACAAGTAGCCGTACCCTGCACAGCACAGGCCTCCTGCGGTGTCGGAGCTAGGAGAGCCCGCAGAAGCGGTGCACGGTTGGGGGGCGGGGAAGCCTCCCCTGTTAAGAGCACCGAAGGAGACTGCTCCATGAGAACCAGAGGCAATAGCTCTACCCGGGGCAGACTGGGCTTCTGCTCTCAGCCAACCCCCCCCGCTGCGGTTGCTGTAAAGGCTGCACCCGCTCACGCCATCCAGCGCCCCCCATTCGCCTCCTCCCGCGCGCTGGTGTGACTGGGGACCAGGGGCTCCCCGCTCCAACGCCGCGGTTAAAACGCATGTGGCCCCTCGCGTGGCTCCCCGCAGGCGAACTTGGGGCGTGCACACGCCGCTAAAGCCCACTGAGAATACGCCAAGCCGAGCCCCCCGCCCCGGCGCAGTTCGGCACCACGCAGGGCCGCCGGCCGCCCCTGCAATCTGGGGCCGCGCTCCCCTCCCCCGCATTGCGATTCAGGAGCACACGCGGGCGCATGCACGGACCCCCCTCCTGCCCACGTCTGGAAGGCGGCGGCGGCAGGCAGGAGCCTCCTCCCGCCAGCCCGGCAGCGGCTCCCCGGGCTGAACCCGGCTCCCGCGCCATCCCTCGCGCTCCTGTCCCCCGCCGCTGCCCGCAAACCCATTAACCATCCCGCGCGGCGGCGACAAGCTCCGCTCACCCTCCTCCTCCTCCGCTCCGCCTCCCCGCGGCCCCGGCTGCCCGAGCGACGCGCCTGGCGGCCAATGCCAGGGCAGCGCCGCTCCAGCCTCCACCCCTGCTGCTGCAGGCCAATCGGGTGCCACAGGAGGCGTGGCTTAGCAATGCTCACACCCTCCCTCTGGGCTTATTGAGAGTTATATCAAGAAATTTCAGTTCAGAGAGAGAGAGAGAGAAGGAGAAAAAGAAAGAGACACTAGGAGGGAGAAAGGCAGGGGACGCGCTGTAGCTTCCTTCCATCACTAAAGCAATAACCTATTAGGATATCCTTTGGCTCCTATCACCCCAGAGATGCAAAGAAGGAGAGAGCAGCAGCAACCAGCCCAACTCTGACATTTCTAATAAGAACTTACAGACTTAACATGCCCGCCTCTCTACACTGAGGAGACAGGAATGGAAAATGTGTGCAGTGTAGAGTGGAAAATACCCCTGATCTAAAGAAGTGCACTGGCTTTTGTGCTTGCTGGTTGGTTGTGGCGGTGTATGCACGTTAAGCACCAGAAGGATCGTCGCCGGATAGAAATGAAACGTGGAGAGGATGACTAACGACAGAACTGTGAATTTGTTCTCTGGAGTTGCTAATTTCCCACCCCGAAGCAACACATTTCGCAAAGAGCAAGCGTTTGGCTGCTGCTGATTTCTCCAAAACCGGTGGTTTAGCAGATGCTTTGTGCTGTATGTGTTGGATCAGATCCTTGCTGAGCCGCAGCAGATCGGCAAAGGTAGACAACCAGTGTAAGTGCAAAGTTACACATGCACCGTGTCTCTGATTTTTTTTTCTAAAAAAATACTAAATATATTTATCTAGGTAGAGAATCTGTGTTTCTGATTCAGTTGCTGTTCGTGGCAAAGGCTCACCTACTCGGCTGTCTCTGCATCCCTACCTGCATCACTCTGCTGGAAGTGATCACAGGCATCAGCTACCGTGCAGCTTTAATGCAGATAAGATGTAGTGCTTAGGCGCTGACCAATTCCACTAAAGTATGTAGATGCCTGGAGCCGTGCACCATTTAATTTGCGGTTAATAGAGCATTTAGGCAGAAGTCTTTTTTTTTTTTTTACCTGCATTATCAGTCTGCAGTATTTATGTGTGACAGCTGCTAATAACATCCTGAGGGGAGATCAGTGTCAATGGTAAAAGACTGCACCTTTTCCCCTCCTCCTGTGATCAGAACATATTTTTTTTCTGCATGTTCTTTGCAAACATTTAGGTTGCTTCTAAGTTGCATTTTGAATCCCCAATCCCTCTGATTTAGATTGTTCTAAAAATCAGATAAAGTTTAAACATAAGGTGAAGTATCCAACATCTGGAGCCGAGACACCGAGCTCACTGTGTAAGAAACTGTGAGTCCTGTTATTGTCTCCTTAGTTAATAGGGATGTGAAGTAGCCAGTGACGACTGCTGCTGCAGCATGTCCGGGTGCTTATTTCCCAGTACGATAGCAATAGTGGGGTATGCAAGGCACCAGGAGGAAAGAAAAATCTGGTTAGCAAAAAAACCAAAAACAAAAACAAAAACCAAAACCCGCACGGAAGGAAACAACAAATTACGATTGGCAGCTGACATTGCAGTTAGCACAGAATCCTATAGAAGTACAGCAAGGTTTTTCACTGTCACCAAATGGCTAGGTGGAGGGGGGATTGCACATTACTGATTATTACACCAAGTGCTAAGAAATGATTTGGAAAGTACGTGTTGAAACTGTAGCTGCCTTTTAGTACGGCAAATAGTTAATTCCATTCTCGGTATGTGTAACTAACGGGATATTGGTGCATTCGTCCGGGATTGCTTGTAAAAGGGAGGAGCAGGGGTATGTACAGTGTGCAAGCGTGCATTGCGAAAATGAGTAGTAGTTTTTGGTGGTTGTGGATTTGTTTTGTTTTTTTTTGTGAAACAATAATGCTCCTCTGTGTGATTGTGTTGACAGTTGCTGTCTCCAAATAAGAAATGAGATGTAATGCATCCTGCAGTCCATGCACGCCTCCTCTTGCAAATCGTGCACCATTCCTCCTTGGAAACCTTTAAATCCTAAAATCCAGAAAAAGAGAATAAACACATTATCATGGACCTGAGGGATTTTTACCTGTTGGCCGCTCTGATTGCCTGTTTAAGGCTGGATTCAGCTATAGCTCAAGAACTTATTTACACTATTAGAGAGGAGCTGCCTGAAAATGTACCCATAGGAAACATACCAAAGGATCTGAACATTTCTCACATCAATGCTGCCACAGGGACCAGCGCCAGCCTTGTCTACAGACTGGTTTCTAAAGCAGGGGATGCCCCTTTGGTCAAAGTGTCCAGCACCACCGGGGAAATCTTCACCACCTCTAATAGAATAGACAGAGAAAAACTCTGTGCTGGAGCCTCCTATGCTGAAGAAAATGAGTGTTTTTTTGAACTTGAAGTGGTGATTCTCCCCAATGACTTTTTTAGGCTGATCAAAATAAAAATAATTGTAAAAGATACCAATGACAATGCACCTATGTTTCCATCCCCTGTCATTAATATTTCCATACCTGAAAACACATTGATCAACAGCCGCTTTCCAATTCCATCAGCAACTGATCCTGACACTGGTTTCAACGGTGTACAGCACTATGAACTGTTAAATGGGCAGAGTGTCTTCGGACTGGATATTGTTGAAACTCCAGAAGGAGAGAAATGGCCTCAACTGATTGTACAGCAAAACTTGGATAGAGAGCAGAAGGACACCTATGTGATGAAAATCAAAGTAGAGGATGGAGGAACCCCTCAGAAATCCAGCACAGCCATACTGCAAGTCACAGTAAGTGATGTCAATGATAACAGGCCAGTTTTTAAAGAGAGTCAGGTGGAGGTTCACATACCAGAGAATGCCCCAGTAGGCACCTCTGTAATTCAGCTTCATGCTACAGATGCAGATGTAGGAAGCAATGCAGAAATCAGATATATTTTTGGTGCCCAAGTTGCCCCTGCAACCAAAAGGCTCTTTGCTTTAAATAACACAACAGGGCTGATTACAGTTCAGAGGTCCTTAGATCGAGAAGAGACTGCTATTCACAAAGTGACAGTGCTGGCCAGTGACGGTAGCTCTACTCCTGCTCGGGCAACTGTTACCATCAATGTCACTGATGTAAATGATAACCCTCCTAACATAGACCTCAGGTACATTATAAGTCCCATCAATGGCACAGTATACTTATCTGAGAAAGATCCTGTCAATACAAAGATTGCCCTAATTACAGTTTCAGATAAGGACACTGATGTGAATGGCAAAGTGATCTGTTTCATTGAGAGAGAGGTCCCATTTCACTTGAAGGCAGTTTATGACAACCAGTATTTGTTAGAGACCTCTTCCTTGTTGGACTATGAGGGCACCAAAGAATTCAGCTTTAAAATTGTTGCCTCTGATTCTGGCAAGCCCAGTTTGAACCAGACTGCCCTGGTAAGAGTTAAACTGGAGGATGAAAATGACAACCCTCCAATTTTCAGCCAGCCTGTAATTGAGCTGTCAGTTTCTGAAAACAACCGTCGTGGTCTATACTTAACAACTATTAGTGCCACAGACGAAGACAGTGGGAAAAATGCAGACATTGTTTATCAGCTTGGCCCTAATGCCTCCTTTTTCGATCTGGATCGAAAGACGGGAGTTTTGACAGCCTCCAGAGTTTTTGATAGAGAAGAGCAAGAACGTTTCATTTTCACTGTAACAGCAAGGGACAACGGCACCCCTCCTCTGCAGAGTCAAGCGGCTGTAATTGTTACTGTGCTGGATGAAAATGACAACAGTCCTAAATTTACTCATAATCACTTTCAGTTTTTTGTATCTGAGAACTTACCAAAGTATAGCACCGTGGGAGTGATCACAGTGACCGATGCAGATGCCGGGGAAAATAAAGCAGTGACCCTTTCCATCCTGAATGATAATGAGAACTTTGTGCTGGATCCTTACTCTGGAGTTATAAAGTCCAATGTTTCTTTTGATCGAGAACAGCAGAGTTCGTACACCTTTGATGTCAAGGCCATTGATGGAGGACAACCTCCTCGCTCTTCTACAGCAAAAGTAACAATAAATGTCATGGATGTTAATGATAACAGCCCAGTTGTCATATACCCACCTTCTAATACTTCTTTTAAGTTGGTGCCACTCTCAGCAATCCCAGGCTCTGTCGTAGCAGAAGTATTTGCTGTGGATATAGACACTGGAATGAATGCTGAACTTAAATATACAATTGTAAGTGGAAATAACAAAGGTTTATTTCGTATTGATCCAGTGACAGGTAATATTACTTTGGAAGAAAAACCAGCTCCTACTGATGTGGGGCTGCATCGTTTAGTGGTCAACATAAGTGACTTGGGTTATCCTAAATCCTTGCATACTCTTGTGCTTGTATTTTTGTATGTAAATGACACTGCTGGAAATGCCTCTTATATTTATGACTTGATACGTAGGACTATGGAAACACCCTTGGACAGGAATATAGGGGACAGTAGCCAACCCTATCAAAATGAGGACTATCTTACTATCATGATTGCTATAGTGGCAGGTGCTATGGTTGTGATAGTGGTGATATTTGTCACAGTTCTGGTTCGCTGTCGACATGCCTCTAGGTTCAAAGCGGCACAAAGGAGCAAGCAAGGTGCTGAATGGATGTCTCCCAATCAGGAGAACAAACAGAACAAGAAAAAGAAAAGGAAGAAAAGGAAGTCTCCTAAAAGTTCTCTTTTGAACTTTGTTACCATTGAGGAGTCGAAACCTGATGATGCTGTTCATGAACCTATCAACGGGACGATAAGCCTTCCAGCTGAGCTGGAGGAGCAAAGTATAGGAAGATTTGACTGGGGCACAGCACCACCAACAACCTTTAAGCCTAACAGTCCTGATCTTGCTAAGCATTACAAATCTGCCTCTCCACAGTCTGCTTTTCATCTTAAACCTGACACTCCAGTATCAGTGAAAAAGCATCATGTGATTCAGGAACTTCCATTGGACAACACCTTTGTTGGTGGTTGTGACACCCTTTCCAAACGCTCTTCCACTAGTTCAGATCACTTCAGTGCCTCAGAGTGCAGTTCCCAAGGAGGCTTCAAGACAAAGGGCCCCTTACACACCAGACAGGTAAATGAGCACTTTTACTGGTCTATAAGTACTGCATACAAGTGCCCAATCAACCAGTATTAAAGTGCCAGTTTGTCTTTTGTTTAGGTCTACTTTTAGCTTGGTTATAATATGGAGAGAGAGAAAAAAGACCACTTTATCGTCTATCTGGGGACTTGTAAATTGCCTCTGATATTTCACAGTTTTAAGAGTCACTGATTATTAAAAAGAACATGCACATATACACACACATGCAAACACACACACACACACACACACACTCTCACGTGTGTGTGCATAAACAACAGATCAAAAATGGAAAAAGATTGTTAAAAGCCAAATTGTTTTCCCAAGGGTGTCCCAGTGTAAAGGTTACTGAAGAAGAAAAACTGTGTTTTCTAATATGCCAGATTCCACTCAAAGAGAAAATTTGACTGTTTCAGGATTAATGTGTTACTTTGGGGATATGTAAATTCACTTTTAAATTTCAAGTGAGGCTGGTTTGAGTGTCTTTTATATTTCAAACTAATTTGGAATATTGTTAAGTTACTGTTGTTAAAGGGTTTCTTATTTTTTCACTTACAAAGATAGCAGAATTTCCAAGGAACTTCATCTGTGAAGCATATGGTTTGTTGGTAGGATATAACTAAGCCATAAAGAAGTCTTCCTCTGTTTTGATTTGTAATTATTTTGTTGTTATAGAGTAAAGTAGGGGATCTAATAGAAAGTTTTTAGCATATTTTCAAAAATGGCCAAAGTATACTTTCAAAACGAATGCATTTGCTCTAAATACAACTTAATTATGCAGAAAAAAATCAGCCCATTGTACGTATTTTCTCATCTTAGTTACGCATAAATGATCTGTCATAACTCCTTTTAAACTGTGAAATATGCCATATGAAGAGGGATTAGGAAGGTGATAAACTCACATTTCAACCAAATCCAGCATTAGTTTTTCTTAGGTCTAATAATTCCTTGCTAATAAAGATTTAAATGCAGTGCTGTCTAATTTATTTCATTGATGCTTGTCTTTTGCCACTAAATTAGAATGTCAGTATAGCCTGTAGATGGCACTAAGGTACTGTGTCGCTTGTGCTGGCCAGGTGCCAATCCTGCAGTAGATAGGAAATGGGGGAGGGAGGATCAAAGTAGTACTACAGCCAAAGAAACCTTTTGTTTAATCATAGTTGCACTGGAGCAACCAGTAGTTAAATGTACAGGTTTGCAAAGCAGCTTCTTAGTGCTTAGTTTTCACTGCACCAACTTTCTAGGGTTTAGCAATCAACTTCATGTTACTGTAGGCATTGTATTCTTCAATTTATGGTGATTTGTCTGAATTTATTAGGGGTCCACAAAGTATGAATCTTAGAGCAGCAGGCAAGGAACATTTAAATTTGTCTTTGCAAAAAAGATTTTGTCAGTAGCAAGTTTAGGACCAAGTAATTTCCTTGCTGTTGCATTAATTAGCCTTATCTAAGATGAATGTGATGTTCCCCAAACCATGTCTTGACTTTTGGGTGTCTGTAAGCTGTCATACTAACAAGACACCTTGTTTTAAACAGGCACTTACAAGGCATCTGCTCTCTAAGTAACTACTCCAAAAATCGTCAATAGACTTGAAATGAGACACTGAAGAAACACTTAGAAAACTCTCCACCCAAAAAATCTATCTTTCACAAGGACTTTAAAGCACTGTAAACTCTCAGAATGTTTTATGCACTACAGTAGCACTCCTGTCAGCATACATTTTTTTAAAAATGCTGATTTACAAAACCTCCAGTGCAGAGCAGCTCTGGGTAATCTGTGGTTGTTCAGGTGAGGGAATACTCTCTTCCCTCATTTTAGTTACAAAATTTGAAAACCTCCTTCTTTGGTCTTCAGAGGTGCTGATAATTTTACTTAAATTAACTTCCCATGTTCTGTTAAAAGAATCACTCTTAATCCCCTTCAGCGTCCCAAAGAAGTTAAAGGAAATTAAGCTCACCAAAATGATTTAGCTGACAGAATATGTCAGCACTGAACAGTGATGCTGAATGTGGGCAGAAAACCTACAGGCAACATTTTCACTTTTTTTTGTTCTTTACATTAAACAAATGTTGCTTGAGTTTTAGTAATAACACAAGTCAGTATACTCACACTCTTATTATGGACCTGATTCAAATCCTGTTGTAGGCAATGGAAAGATTCTCAATGATTTCCATGGACTTTGAATCAGTCTATAGAAGAGGTATAATGTTACATGGGACTGAAAATGCAACTGTATTTTATTACTCTTTTTATATAAAACATAAACAATATAAACAATTATTATAATTGAGCTTTTCCATTCATAAGCCTGATTTTTTAAAAGAGTTTTTCCAGTTGATCAGTGGTACAGGAACTGAGGTTTTTGACCTTATAACATTTTCTGATGGTTGAGTTCAGCCAACAGTGGCAGCATGAGTTAGCAGTCTGGTATTTATCTATGATCTCTAGAGTTAGGATGTATCTTTGCTACTGTTCCCTGTGACGATACAGAAATTAAATATAGTTTCATAGGTATGGGTTGTTGGGGTTTTTTAAAGCCTTGTTGATATAGAGTACGTCCTTAAAGTAGAATATAAAATTTTAAATAAAATCTTTCTTATAGAATGTTAGGTGAAAATAATGTAAGATCTGAAATGCATTTTTTAAAGTCCTCTGTGAAAAAATGTTTAATTCCGTGCATAGTACTGTTTTCTTGCATTTAGAATTGAGGATTTCTGTATTTTATGCCATAAAGCTATAGAAAAGCATCTTTTGCAGAAAGTTTTTCTTTCTGTAATTTGGAAAGGGTCCATGAAACGTTGCAGAGAATAAAAAAGGGAGAAGGTTAGGGGAATATTTACCTGAGAAATGTTATCATGATATATTTTCCATTAAAAATGTCATTTGAGATTATTATCCAAGATGAAAACACCTATACATTGCATTAGGTACTGCAGATAAACTAAAACACACTTATTCAGGCAAAACTCCCATTGACTTTAAGTCATCTGCTAGGACTGGGTCCCATGATAAAATCTTTCAGGACTCCTACATTTTCAGAATACTTTGTTGGGCTTTAGCTATGTGACTGCCATCAAATCCAATGGAAATTGCTTGGCTAAACTTCTGTTCACCACTTTGAATTATGCTGGTTGGTGTTTCAAAAAGTGCCCAGTATAAAAACCAAAGCCCTCCCCAAGTGCCTATGATGCAGAACACCTGGTAGCTGCTCTGAGCAGAGCACTTTTGAATACTTGAACTTGGGAGTGTCTTTTCAGAGCTAATTAACATAATTAGGAGCATGAAAAGAATGTTACCCACTGTCAGATCTTGTTGCTCAGATTTTGTAGTCACTAATATGACCCATGAATAATAGTGAAATCTATGCAGGGTGTTCCGTCACTGTTCATTTCAGTATTCAGCTGAACAAAAACAGTATCCAAAATATTAAGCCAATGCACCAAACAACTAAATACAAAATACTGCAGAAGACAGCATGTTGCATTTTTGTGTGTGAAAGGGTTTTCTTTTATAAAAACCCTACTCAGGGTCATAATATTAGCAATAGGATAAATAGTGAAATGATAGACAATGAAAGTCAAATCACCACACTGTATTCCAATTTTACACTAATGTAACTCTGTCCCAACAAATTTGGAAGGAGTTACACCACTGTAAAACTGCAGTAACTTAGGGCTAAACACTTACATTGATGTCACAGTGAAAGTTATGAGCAAAGACTTCAATTCATGGAAGCATTCCTATTCAGAATAGCACTTAAGTGTGTGCTTAATTTAAAGTGCATACATATATTCCATTGAAGTCAATGGATGTAAGCACAGGATCAGAGGTAATCATCTGCTAAAATGTTATCCTAAATTGGGATGGACTACAGTACATGCTTAAATACTTTTCTGTATCTGGACCAAAATTAAACCCTTTCGGAAATGTGCACAATTCCACTGAATTCAATCAAGGTAAACAAGCACTGACTTTGGCCCTACATTTTCAAGCACTCAAAAGACAAAAAATACAAAAAATTAAGGATCTCATAGTAACCTTAATTGACACACATTTCCCATATTGCATATTACAGTATGTATTTAACTGCATAACAGTAATGCAGTGTATTCTGTGGGGCCAGTTCTGTGCTCCTTATTCAGTCAGTGGGAGTTTTGCTGAGTAAGGCGTGAATATGAAGAATGAAGACTCACTATTAGGAGTGAAGATCACTTAAGCTTGCTCTGTCAAATGTAATGTTTGGCATTTTTGACTTTGGAGTGTTTAAAATTGTAACCTGAAGCTTTTGTATTCAGTTTCTCTGTTAATTAAGGAAAAAAAGATTAAAACACTAATGCATTTAATGTGTTCTTCCACAGTTGCAAAGTTGAAAGTGTGTGCAACTGTGGTAATCCACAGTGGAATAGCAGTACAGAATTTTTCATACCTTGTAAAGATTGCCATTACATATTCATAGCATTCCATAGTCCCGTAAATAGTATTGTTCTTAGTGGCAATTTTTTACTGCAGATGCACAAAGTTGCATTTTCTATCAACTATAATTTCATTGTTTCAATTATTTATGCTTATTTTTATTTTATTTTTACATTAGCCTGGACATTAGTCCTTGGTGAGGACTAGCCACTGAGAGAACTTCAACATATAAAATTCATCTGTTTTTGAGTTATGTATGTCTTTAAAAAACTGGAAATGCTGAAAAAGTACAGTATGTTTTTCCATCTTTGCATAGCTCAAAAATAGGATAACATATTTTGCTCAACTGGCTAAAGAAATTCATCTTTGAACTGAGACTAAGCATGGAAAATTTCAGCTGAAAAGGAGAGTTTTTCAGCAAGTTAAGAGCATGTGAAAACTCACGGTTATAATGGAAATCTGAACATAACCCTAAGCTATAATACTGTTTTCAATTGTGGCACTGTAAATGCTAAGCTATAATAAGGAACATTTTGTGTATACAGCTACATACGGTAAAAGCCTAGCAAGCTTCCTTTCTC